TTTAGACCAATCAGTTTAATTGGAAGTGTCTACAAGTTGATTGCCAAGATTCTCACAGAAAGATTAAAGAAAGTGATGCACAAGCTAGTAGATACTCAACAAATGGCCTTCCTCTTAGGAAGGCAAATAACTGATGCAATCTTAATTGCCCAGGAGTCATGTGCAAACTGGACATAGAGAAAGCATATGATCATGTCAATTGGAACTTCCTACTTGAAATCATGCAGAGAATAGGCTTTGGATTGAAATGGATCAGATGGATAAAGTTTTGTATAAGTACTGTTAAATTCTCAATACTGATAAATGAATAGATCTCCTGAAGGTCTCTTTCCATCAGACAGAGGACTAAGACAAGGTGATCCTCTCTCACCTTTTCTATTCATTATAGTGATGGAAGGCCTAAACAACATGCTAAAGACTGCTCACACTAAAGGGTGGATAAGGGGCTTTAATGTAGCAAATGAGGGGAATCTAAGATTGGAAGTCACTCATCTCCAATATGCAGATGACACTCTCATCTTCTGTGATGCAGAAGAAAGCCAACTTAAGATCCTGCGAGTGATACTCATTCTTTTTGAAGCAACTTCAGGACTACATATCAACTGGAGGAAAAGTCTGATTTTTCCAATTAATGAGGTGAACAGAATGCAACATCTGACAGAGATCTTGGGAGGAGAAATAGGTAAACTACCAACAGTATATTTGGGGATGCCTTTGGGAGCCAAAAGCAAATCCAATGAAATCTGGAATGGGGTGCTGGAGAGATGTGAAAGAAGACTATCTAGATGGAAAGCACAGTATTTGTCTAGAGGTGGAAGATTGACCCTGATCAACTCAGTCTTAGATGCTTTGCCAACATATTTGATGTCAGTTTTTCCTCTCCCCCCTAAGGTGGAGGAAAGAATTGATGCATTAAGGAGGAATTTTTTGTGGAATGGAGAGAAAGAATACAAAGGATTTCATTTGGTCAAATGGAAGACTGTAATTCTTTCAAAGAAACAAGGTGGGTTAGGCATTAGAAACCTGAAGAAACAGAACAAAAGCCTTATGATGAAGTGGTTGTGGAGATTTCCTAAAGAGGAGCAGGCTCTTTGGGTTAGAGTGATTCAGGCCAAGTATGAGAAGATAGATCACTGGAAAACTAAGGAAGTGACTTCTGCCTATGGTATTAGCCTATGGAGATCAATCAGAAATTTGTGGCATTGTTTCTTTCAAAGAACTAGATTCAATGTAAACAATCGAAGAAAGATTTTGTTTTGGGACGATAATTGGTTAGGAAATGGCAATTAAAATGAACTGCATAATCACTTTTTGCTATTGGTGCAGTTCGGAGTATGTAGATGATCCTATAGCGGTTAGAGATATCCTAGGTCCTTTGTAAGATGAAGTAGGATCTAGTTTAGTTTTGTTTTAAGTACACGCAACTGTATGTAGCTCCATGATGTAAATTTGGGATCCCAGCCTTTAGTGCTAAAGATTAATACACAAAATTGTTACCTTTGTCAAAAAAAATAAAAATATTACTTAATATGGCTATATATTGCGTTTTGAACACCTTTGACTCAACAAAGAGATGTAGCTTAGTGACCAATGTTGTTTAGAAAATCGTAAGATGCCAGGTTCGATTCCCCCTAGCTGCATTTTGTTATATAATTTTGTGATCCTACTTTTTTCTTTAAAACTGGGACTAAGACTAACTATTTTTCTAAAACAAATAGGGACAAAAATGGCCATGTTTTAATTATTTTAAAAAAAAAGAGTCATGTTAAATTAAAAATTGTTATAAAACAACTTATTTGTTATGTTCATTCCTTTTTTGTCTTCTTTATGTTTCCTTTTATATTATACAATTGTTAATTCTATTATAATAGTTTTTATAATTTATTTAAATATTGTGTAGTTTGATTTGAATTTTCTTTGGTCCTTCCCCCTTCCCCCCCCCCCCAAAAAAAAATCCCCAAGAGAGACAGACTCAAGTATCTTGGGTCTACAACTCCGGGGAGTGGGGACATCGACGATGATATCACACATCGTATTGGTGTGGTGTGGTGTGTATGAAGTGGAGGCTTGCATCTGGAGTCTTGTGTGATAAAAAGGTACCACCGAAACTCAAGGGTAAATTTTATAGAGTGGTGATTAGACCAACATCGTTGTATGGCGTGAAGTGTTGGCCAATCAAAAACTCCTATGTCCAGAAGCTACATGTTCTGGAGATCAGGATGTTGAGGTGGATATGTGCCCATACTAAAAGCGATAAGATTAAGAATGAGTATATTCAGGATAAGGTGGGAGTAGCCTCTATGATGAATAAGTTGAGGGAAGCGCAATTGAGATGGTTTGGACATGGTAAGAGGAGATGTATAGACGCACCAGTGAGAAGGTGCGAGAGGTTGGTTATAGAGGGTACGAGGAGGGGGAGAGCTAGACCGAAGAAGTATTGGCGAGAGGTGGTAATACAAGATATGATGCAGCTTCAGGTTACCGAGGACATGACCTTAGATAAGAAGGTGGAGGACACATATTTGGATAACAGGTTAGTAGGTAGTTTAGGGTTTTCTTGCATAGGATAGTTGGTGTTTGCCATTTTACTAGTTGTGTTATTATAGTTCTTGTTTTTTCCATATAACATTGCTTATTCTTGTTTTCCGTAATCTTTCCTAGTATGTTGTTTATTAATTATCGCACTATTTTGTTGTTGTCTTTGCTCCCTTGTGGTAGACTTTGCACCGTTTTCTTGTTGCTTACTATCTTTTCTTCACTGTCGCCTTTTTATTCACTTGAGCCGAGGATCTTTCGGAAACAGTCTCTCTACCTCCACGGGGAAATGAGCCTATCTTCAAGTTATGGTTTAGCAATAGTGGACCTTGCCAGTAACAAAGAGCATTGGTTAAAGATTAGGGGCTAAAGAAATGCTTTGGAGAAGATCTGAGAAGAATTTGTCTAGATGGAAGACTGGTATTTGTCTCTGGTAGGCAGTCTCTCCTTTATTAATGCAGTTCTTGATACTCTTCCAACATACATGTTATCTCTATTCCCCATTCCCTCACGTGTAGTCCAAAGATTGGACAAACTCAGAAGGTCCTTCTTTTGGCAAGGTTTTCATTTTGTCAAATGGAAAATCTGATAACTAGTAAAAACAAGGTGGTCTTGGCATCAAAAACTTGAAGAATCAAAGTAGGGCCTTAAAACTGAAGTGCTTGTGGAGGTATGCTCAGGAATCATAATCATAATGGGAAAAGGTAATCAAATTGAAGTACGGGGAGATGGATTTTTGGGCTACCAAGGATGGTCCACACCCTCTATGGTGTAACTGTTTGGAGATCTATTAGAACATGGTGGCCTTTTTTAAAGAGCCAATCTGTCATCAGACTTTATAGTGGTAACTAAACAAGTGAGGATCCCTGACATGTTTGTTATAGCTCAACATCAAAACAAAATTGTGATTAAAATGTGGTCATTGAGAGTTGATGTTCAAGAAAATGTTGAATGACTGGAAATTCCTAGACTAGTTGATCTCTGTAAACTTCTTGAATCATTCCAAGGGCTGAAGGATGCGATGGACTGCTTGTGGTGGACTGGGCATAATAAGGGCACTACAAAGTGACCTCAGGATATAAGATCATGAACATGACTGAGTCACAGTCCACAGAACTCTAACTGGCCATAGAAACAAATCTGGAAAGCTAAGATACCTCATAAGGTGGCATGCTTTACATGGTTGCTAGCAAAGCAGGCTGTAGTGACACATGAAAAATTGAGAAAGAGAGAAATTATAATAGTTAGACACTTATGTGGGGATGCAACTGAGACAGTTGGACATCTATTTTTACATTGCAGAATCACTGACCAATTATGGAAGATTTTTATCAATCTTAGAGGCATATATTGGACAATGCCTAGCAGGATTATTGACACTCTTTCAAGCTGGGAAGAGGCTGGGATTGGGGCAAGAAATAGAAGTGACTAGAGGATCTTCCCAGCTTGCATATGGTGGACTCTCTGGAAAGAAAGGAATTCCAGATGTTTTGAGGATAGAAGTAGTAGCTTACACAAGATCAAATCAGACTGTATTTTGCTATTTGATTTTTGATGTACAAAGAGCTTAGAGCTTCTATGTAGATGCAGAATCAATCCTAGAAGTTTTAGACTCTTGTTAGGATTGTTTTTTTTAGCCTTTTAGTGTTCATGTTTTCTTTTGTCAAGGGGGATTTTAGTACTACCCAAGTACTGGTATATAATACAAAGTTGTTACCTATTTGGAAAAAAAGAACTTGAGATTGCTATAGGAACTACTTCAACTCTTGGATTCGCCTCTATCTATACTTAAAATTTAGGAGCATTAAAACTTAAGCAGCTACCTACCTAAAGAGGTGCATGGGCACACAAGAGATAATAGACTTTACCTGTCATATTTGCCATACCTTAGGTATGTACAGTTGTATCCCGATAATGATCTGTTTTGTGGATCTAGGCTGAATCGAGATTCAATCACTTTTGGTTGAAAGGTGCTGCTAGAGTTCCTTAGTTTACATCATTGTGCTTCTTATTCCATAAGTTCTTCCCCTCTCAACCACTTTCTTCTATCTTCTTAGGTTATTTGCCTCTAGCCCTCATATAAATTTCTCAGAATATCACTTACCTTGAGCTGGTCAAAGCATTACCAAACCATGGGCACATCAGTGTTTGCGCGAAATTTCATGAATGTTTCCTACCTTTATCCTCTTGTGCTTATGTAGCGTCTGTCTTGGTTAATTTTCCTAATGTCGATAGTGTATTTCTTTGTTTCAACATGAATTGTATCATTAATATTACTGTTTGACCTCAATTTTGGGTTCTTTTTAATTTTGAAAGACATTATTTAACAGGTTGGCATGGCTGCTACTCTTGCTGGTGTCTGTCAGGTGCCTCTCACTGCGGTTCTGCTTCTCTTTGAACTGACACAGGATTATCGGATAGTTCTGCCCCTCTTGGGAGCTGTGGGGATGTCATCATGGGTTACATCTGGACAAACAAGCAAAGGGGTGGTACAGGATAGGAAGAAATTAAAAGATGCAAGAGCCCAGATGACGCAGTGGCAAGGAACTTCTTCCTCCAACATTGGACTTCCTAGCTTAACTTATTCTTCAGGTGTGGAACCTTCACAAAAAGAGAGTAACCTCTGCAAACTTGAGAGTTCACTCTGTCTTTATGAATCTGATGATGAAGAAAATGATTTCGCTAGGAAAGTTCTAGTTGCACAGGCAATGAGAACGCGATATGTGACAGTCCTAATGAGCACCTTGCTAATGGAAACCATATCTCTCATGCTAGCTGAGAAGCAATCTTGTGCTATAATAGTTGATGAAAATAATTTTCTCATTGGTTTGCTGACACTTGGTGATATCCAGAATTACAGCAAGTGGCCAAGAGCGGAAGGAAAATGCCAGGAGGTAGCTTCTTAGCACATTTAAATATCTTAACTAATAGAAAATGAGGAAAACAGGGTTGGCTTTTGTTGGCTTTTTAGGATTTTATATATATATATTGCTTTAAGTTGTGTAGGTTGTTTTCTGATGTGAGTTTTGACTTGGCAGAATCATAAAATGGCATGGAAGGTTGTATTGTCAAATGTTATATAAAGGAATATGTGACTTTCAAAATCAATTTGGAAGTTTTGGAGTCAATAGTTACTTACTGAATCTTATAGGATGGAGAGGAGAGTTTTCACAGGAAGAAAGAAATTGGATCTGATTTCAATTATGTATAGTTGATATATATATTTTTGCTATCTAAATTCCCATTAATCAAGCAATCAACCAAAGGAAAGTGTACATTCAACTTGAGTCAGAGGGAGAATATGTAATGATTTTATTTCTATATTTCATTGAAGCCCCGTTGATCTAGAAACTTGAACTTTCTTATGGCCTGCTTCATTCAATTGATGCATTTTTGTAGTGCCAATAGAAACTGACCTGGCAGTGAAAATAACAGTATTGGCCCCTCCCTTAATTAGTTTCCATAGATCGCCTCCTTGCTGATGATCTTCCACCTGGTAGAACTACTATTAGCCGTCCAAATTCTGTCCCTTTACTATGAATACAAATGTAATGGTCCCCCAAAATGACACATTGGCCATTGGACTAGTTTCAACAACTTTGATAGTTCTTTTGATTCTTGAGTACGCCTCTCTATTATGTTCTTCTTTTGCCAATTTTAGTCTTCATTTTGTTCATAAGTGAGATAATGGTATAGCAATGCGAAAAGAGTACAATTCACAGGAGATCTTTGTTGAAGAGCCCCACATCAGGCTCTTACAAGATGAGTGATCTCTTTATATGGCTTGGATAATCCTCACCTCTTTAGCTAGCTTTTGGTGTTGAGTTGGGTCCAATGTCCATTTCTTTAACATGGTACCAGAGCTACCATGAGAAACATCCAGGACGGAGAAGTCAGTCATTGTGCCTTCTTTCCAGTGATTTTCAGATCTGATTGCATCACCTTTCTTTTTCTGCCAGCATTTTTCCAGAACTAACACCACCAAAGGTCCAATAACTCTCAGCGACCAAAGTCAATGTCACCGGCAGCAGGCCCCTCAAGCATGGCTAAATCTAAGGTTCCTGCACGGGGCTGTCACACGCGCCAGTGCGTGTGAGGTGTTCGACCAGATTCCGACAGCCGTGGTGTTCAGCTCAAGATTCCGATCTGACTACCTCATTTCCAGCCACTTCCGACGATGCCAGCAGCTTTAACCAATTCGGGTGACTAGATTTTCTGAAAAGTCTTGCCTGAAGCTGCTGCATACTCAATGCAGCTCCTCTTTTGCACTTTTTGGCAGTCTGAGTTATATTTTGTGATTGTTTGCTTAAAACTCTCTTCAATCCAACCATGTCTCTTAGGTTTGAGTTGGAAATTCAAGTCCTATTAATTATCATTACTTGAGAACTCTTAATAGGAAGTTCAAACTATTTAACTTGGGCTTTCTTAGTTGAGTTAAGTGCAAGTGTCAAGGTGTTCAAGATCACTTAACCAAAATGGTTAGTGAGTTAGATGATCAATTGTAGTCTCTTGTGACGATATATTGATTCCAAGTTGATGCCTTTGTTTTATCCATTTCACATATGTAAATTCACTTGGGATTTGTATTAGTGCAGTACCCATCCCAATTCTTGTTACCGAATGTTGGGACCCGATATATTAAAAAATTGTCCACGCTTCAGATGTCTAGCCCTGAACATGAATGGGGTGTTGAAGAGTCTCACATTAGGCTCTTAATAGATGGGTGGTCTTTTCATATGCCTTTTTCAATACTCACTTTTGAGCTAGCTTTTGGAATTGAGTTAGGCCAAATGTTTATTTCTTTAACAAATCTTAACATTAATAAATTGGATATAAACATTATGGATAGGGGTGATAGCCTTTAATAATAACACTGTTTTCAAAGTTGGGGGAGAGTAGGATTAGTTTTTGGGGCAAAAGTGGTGTGGAGGTTCGGTATTGTATAGTCTCTTTCCAAAGGGAATTGTCTTGTCAGCAAATTAAGGGACTCATAGGGATGGAACCTTATGGGATTTGAGGTTTAGGAGGACTTTCCGAGATTGGGAGGTGACCCGAGTTTCAGAGATTGCTAGGTTTACTTCAAAAGCAATGTGAGTCAGTCAATAGACCCGATGTGTTGCGTTGGGAGTTGGAGTATAATGAAGTGTTCTCGGTTAAGTCCTTTTATAAGAAGCTTTTGGTTAGGGCAGAGGATAGATTTCCATGTCTCGATCTGGATACCTAATATGCCGAGGAAGGTGTGCTTCTTCACGTGGTTAGCTACTAGAGGAGTGATTTTGATGGCAAAGAATCTTAGGAAAAGAAAGGATGTTTGCATGCGTTGGTGTTACCTTTGTAAGGAGTTGTGTGAGAACGTGGACCATATTTTGTTACATTGCAATTTGGCTACGAGGTTATGGGAGGATATCTTTAGATGGTTTGGATTTTCTTGGATTATGCCAAGAATCGTTAAGGAGTTGATGCTCAGCTGGAAGAGTAGAGCTAGGAGAAGAAGGCACAAGACTTGGAGTGTTACTCCCTTTGCTTTGACGTGGGACATTTGGATAGAGAGGAATGGGAGAGCTTTTGAAGGGGTGGAGATGAGCTTGGCTCAATTGAGTAGTAGTCTCCAATCCCTTATTTTCTTTTGGAGCACCCATGTAGTTCTTGTTTGTGTAAGAGGATTGAGTGTCTTTTGGAGAGAACCATATTTTGTAGGTTTCTCCTCTTTTTGGTATATCACTTGTATACAGCCAAGTTGGCCATGTTATTATCAATGAGACCTTTTATTTGATAAAAAACAGACTTAAGGAAATAAAAATGCTTTTTCAAGTCGTAGGAAGATGCGAAGGATGGTGGTAGATAAAAAAAATAAGAAAATGCAAAGGACAGAGATGATTTTATGATTTTACTACACAATATTAGAATAATGGGCATTAAACTATGTTATATTAAATAAAAGGGTAATTTATACAAAACATCCGCCCATAAACTTACCATTTTTTTAACCCAATTTTTAATAATTACTTATGGTCACATTAATTTCCAAAAAAATGGCCGCTTCTATTTTCTCTGTTGTGTCTTCTTCCTTGTTCTTCATCTTCATCTTCTTCTTCTTTTGTTGCTACTCCATCCTCCTCCTTCATTCTTCTACTTCTCCTTTTTTTTTAAAAAGATCGACACACCGCAACGTAAATCGTTTTGAGCGAATTATATATCAAAAAATCTGAAACATCGAGAGGATATTCATGTCTAAAGTTGGGACTTTTTAGAGGTGATTTTGAGTTGATCGAGATTGAATTAATCGGTGTATATTTCATGTATAGTCAGTGTATACTTTATGTATAGTTATACTATATTCGGCTTATTGAGTGTATCATAATGTATAGTCAGTGTATAGTTCATGTATAGATAAGCTATATTGTATAGTCAGTGTACGCTTTCTATGACTTTGGCTATTTTTTATGTATATAAAACATGGCTTTATTTATTGTAAATCAATTAGTTTATTGTAAATATTTGAAACTAATCCTAGATAAAATTCTTAAATTGGGCTGCTAGACAACAGGATAGATTTGAATTACACTATTCATTCACATGGATTTTGTATTGTAATATTAAATTAAAAAGATTGGCTTTGCTATTTTATCATCATGAATAACAAATACATTTCTTTTAACTGTATGTATGTATGCAGGAACTTGTAGTAGCTGATGTTTGCTCTTCAAATGGCAATAAGTGCCGGGTATCATGCACAGTGACTCCAAATACAGATCTCCTTTCTGCTCTAACTATTATGGAGAAACATGGTTTGAGTCAGCTACCTGTTATACTAAGGCACGTGGAGGATGAAGGCATACATCCTGTGGGCATTTTGGACAGAGAGTGCATCAATGTAGCTTGCAGGTTTTTGATATTCAACTTTTCTTCAAAATATAATGCTTTCTGGAACCATTGATGATAAAATATGCAAGAAACTTGTGCAGTAGTCACACTTTACCATTGATGATAAGTATGCAAGAAAACTTGTGCAGAAGTCACACTTTACCATTGAATAAAATTTGCAAGAAACTTGTGCATAAGTCACACTTTACGATTGATTACCAGATAAGCTATAATTAAGATGTCAAAAGTATTTGACAAATTATCTCTTATATGCAAGTCCAAGAAGTGAACATACCTTTAACACACTTTGACCGGACACTAAGAAGAAAATCACTAAAGTAGGGTTGAGAAATTGGTTTGATAGGGAAATCACCATTTATACTTAAAAAGAGATGTGAATTTGAAGTCTTAAAGCTTGTGATAGTCATAAAAAAAAAATTATATTCTAAGTATGTCAAGCAGTCCATCCAAAAGTAGAAAATAACTTCACTTGTACTATGAATTCCCTACACAAATTCTCACGGTATCCTCTATTCATCACTAGCACCACATGTGTAAGGGGTCGTTTGGTAGAGTGTAAGAATAATACAAAATATAGTGTATTAGTAATGCTTGTATTAGTTATGTTTGCATTAGTTATGATGAGAATTTGTTATGCAATGTTTGGCTTAATGTACTAAAAATATTATGCGTTGCATAATTTTAAAAAATATATATTTGTTTACAAAAATACCCTCCACAAATATAGTGGAAATGATGTAAAAAAGTTTTTGAGGGACAATTGTGTCTTTAATAATGTTAATGCATGCATTAGAATCCATTGCATTGCTAATGCATAGAAATCCATGGTATTAGTAATACACAATAGAGTGTATTACTAATACAAGCATCAGTTATGCATAGGTTAGAAAACTATACCAAACAAGGTACTAGTAATACACCAAGCTAATGCAAGCATTATTTTCTCCGATACACTCTACCAAACGACCCCTAAGAGTTTTATACAATAAACCTGTGTCACATAAAAGTCCATACAGATTTGGAAGTAAGGCAAGTATACAAGGAAAGTTCCATCACCAGGGTGAGAGTATAACAAAAGTATCAGCCAGACATAGTTCATTTAACCTATATTGACTGGTCATCAGGTAGTAAAGGGAAGAAAGGTTCAATGGGTTATTGTGGACTAACGGGTAGATAATCAAATCTCGATCACAGTTCCATGAATAAGCAAAATGCAAGTTGCTAGAACTTATTTGTTGTCTGTTAACATAGATGTATAGTTTATGTGAAGGCATCTTGTTTCTGCGAAAAGAATGAAGTTTCTGACAAGCAATCTTGTAGTTGCTTACAAGAAGTAACGATTTCATTGATAAGTTGGGGAAGAATAGAAGTGGACAAAAAACTGGCAGAACCTACAAAAGAACATGGTTCTCCACAAATAGCATCCTATCGTCAATACTCACCGCAATGGACAATTAATTTCATTCTTGTAACTTAGGAAAGACTATACTACTATTATTCAACTAATAACAACACCCCTTTTAATGGATGTGTACCCAATAATATTCTAAGCATTATCTTGGTGTACAACTTTTCTTAATGACCATCTTTGCAATTGACATTTATTGTTTTTAACCGTCCCAATATGTTGCCAGTATTTGATTGTATATGGGGAAGAAGAAAGATCGATTTTGACACGTAGACTGAATATGTATAAAATACCGAAGTTACCTAGCATCAATAAGTCGTGTCAATTCCTAGCTCAGTAAATCATTAAGGCAAAATGGGAATGTAAAGATTAAGCAGTTTCTAAGTATACAAAGGTGTCAGTCTTACTGGGGGCGAAAAAATAAAAAAAGGAAAACCTGTCATACTAGTTTGGGGTGGGGTGGTGGTAGCATTCCACTCAGGTTTTTCATTTAGTTTTTCAATTAATGCAGGCGAAGCAGAGGAAAGCCTTGATTAGAACTTAATTATCAGCAAACCTTAGTGGCTCTTGGAATAGAACATGAAGCCTTAAGCAAATATCATTGACAATGAAATATTGACTTTCTAGGAAGTTGTATTTTGTTCTGCTTTTCAAAAGGACTAAGAAGAACTTAATACGATTACTTCTCTCCATTCCATCCTCTCTCTCTCTTGTATCATGATATCAGAGCCAATAAGAGTTTGGTAAGCCCTAATTAGCTTTTTTGCTTGTCTAGTTATTTTTTGTTTTTTTGTGTTTTCCGTCCTTTTACTATTCCATAACTTTTGAGTGACTGTTCTGGAGGGCACCACATCTCTATTCTTATCATTTTTGCAGCAGTGTTACGCCACTATTATGGCCCATGTTTGTTCCACACCTTTTTAAAAATTTCAGCCTGCTCCTTTTGTTTCGCCTTACAAAATCTTCTGGCTAACTCAAAACCGGTTACTAGTCCTCCTTTTCCGATCGTAACTTGCTCTCTATTTTCTCTTGATTTTGTTCTATTAACTCTATAGTTAGTACCAAACCATCAAAGGTATACGATCTAATCAAGTAGATCTCATTAGTATGTTAGTTTCTGAGACTCCATTCAATATTGAAGGTCTGTAATCTGGTCAAGCAAACTCTTACCAGATAGAGCAAGCAAAGTTATGTCCCCAACTGTGTATCAAAGGTTTGCAATCTGGTCAAGTAAAATTATTTACCAAGTGCCTGCAATTCTGTCAGTTTGCTGTCTATGTGATGCTTGAATGTGCCACCTCGGCAAGAGGAATAAAGAAACCCACTTTGGTTTGTAGTCTTTATCCGTTTAGACACAACAACAAACCAAGTGTAATCCCACAAGTGGGGTCTGGGGAGGATAGAATGTAAGCAAACTTTATCTATTAAGACGTTCCTTTGAAATAATTAAGAGCAAACGAGAAAGCAGATCCCCTTGTTGCAAACCCCTTTTGTAAGGAGAAAAGCCTTCGGGAGAGCCATTAATTAGAATGGAAAACCTGACCGTGCTAAAACAATAAGAGGTTCATTTAATCCATTTCCTCCAAAAAATCTTATCCCTTTGAACTTCAATGAGAAAATTCCATTTAACATGGTCTTGTGCTTTTCCAATATCCAGTTTACATAAAATTCTCTGTGTTTGTCCCCCCCTCTAGTATCCACAGATTCTTTGGTCATCAAGTATGCATTCATTATCTGTCTTTCTCTAATAAATGTCATATGGTACTTGTCAACTAGCTCGTCCACCACCTTTTTGAGTCTCTCAGTCAATAGCTTGGAGATAATCTTGTATACACACCCTATCAGACTAATAGGTCTAAAGTCTCAACTCCTTGGCACCATTATTTTTAGGAATCAACGCCACATATGCTGCATTTCAGGCTTTTTAAAACTGTTCCTGGGTGTGAGTTTTCCACTGTCTTCATATTGTGTTCTTTTAGAACATCCAAACATGAACGAAAGATATCTGTTGAATACCTGGTGCTTTGTTTTTTTTTTTGCACGTATTTTAATTGTTTCCAGTACATTATCTCAAAAAAAAAAATTGTTTCCAGTACATCTTGCTCCTTAAAGGCCCTTTGTTACCATGCCACTGCCTCCTCTGTAATTCTAGGACAGTTCATGCAGTTAAACCGCGGCTCCAAGCTTCTGCATACAAGTTCTGATAAAAAGAAAGGATTTCTCTCTCCTAATATTCATAGGATCAGTTTCTAATTCTCCATTTGATCTCCAGCTTGTCAATGATATTGGACCTCTTGTGAGCATTAACCATCTTCGGGAAGAACTGTGTTTTTGTCTCCTTGCTGTAGCCAAAGCACTCTGGATCTCTGCCTCCAAGTTGTCTCCTCATATTTTGCAATTTTCTCAAACTACACCAAATTAACCTTCAAGTAGATCATCATCATTAAGGCTTCTTTGTTCCTGTATGTTATCTAACTGTGTGAGTTGGTTTAGTAAGTCTGTCTTCTTAAAAAAAAAAAAAGTTTGTCTTCTTCTTTTGAAGGCTTCCATAATTGGCTGTGTTCTGTTCCTTCAATTTAGCTTTCAACATCTTCAACTTAGTAACAAAAGTGTAATTTGGTTTACCTTGCACCTAAAAGAATCCCACCAGCCTGTCACTTTCTCTGTATGGCCCTCTACCTCTAGCCACCAATTTTCAAATTTGAAGTATGACTTTGTATTTTCCTAATCCCAACACAGTAACAATACCAGAGTATGGTCAGAATTTATTCGTGGAAGCAGAAACTGTTTAGTGCTTCTGAAATGGACATCTCCACTCAATCGAATAAAAATCTATCAAACCTTGATGCAACTCCCAGATTGTTGGCCTTGTTCCATGTGAAAGTTCAACCAAATAAAGCGGGGTCAACAAATTCCAGATCTTCAATTCCCTCGGAAAAGTCTAACATTTCTCTTGGTGTATCTGTTACTGCTTCTTTTCTCAGCCACAAATCTAGTTCCTGCCTTTCTATCCTGCAGTTGGAGCCGTAAACTCCTGTGAAGTACCAGGAGAAGTTATTTGCCAGTGAATACAATTTACAAGTGATGCTTAGAGTCCCTGATTTGACTATCTCACTCCCCCAGATCCTTTTTATCGCACAGTACAAGTATTCTACCTCGACTTCACTAACCTCTTAACGAGCCAAATCAGCCGACCTGGCTGATTTAATTTCCATGTTGCCTTCCATCTTCGTTTCTTGAAAGCAGTATACATCTGCTTGCCATTTGTGAATCAATGCTTTAATTTTATTTTTTCCTGTACTGTTAATTCCCTGTATATTCCAAGTAATGATTTTCCCTTTCATTGATGAGCAACACATAAATAACTCCCCCCTGCTTCTAGAGTCGGTATTTGTTATTAAATACCAATCTTTGGACTTCCTTAATTCGCTCCTGCTTTGGAGTAGAGCATCTGGAGCTTCATTAATCTAGTCTTTTCTTCTTTTATCAATCTTCATGAAAAGGGAAAGGGTCCAACTGGATAAACCAAGAATTACAATAGGTCTGGCTTTGATTCCATGCGGAAAAAAAAAGAATAAGACTTTGATCCTAACTCAACCTCAAAAGTTAGCTAATGAGGTTAGATTGCCTAAGACTAGGGATGGCAGAGTAGGTAATTTATATGGTTATCCATTCAAATTACCCATCCCAACTCATTTAAAATGGGTAAAAAACCAGTCAAACTCCCCATTTAAAAGTGGGTAGTTAAATGGGTAAAATGGGTAAAAAAAAAGATTCATTTATAAAAGAAAGAAAAATGACATCAATATTTTTTTTTTGAGGTGTAGGTGATCGGGGTAGGAGGTAGGGATGGGTGGGATAAAGAAAAAAATTTAAATTTGATGTTACATTATGGAAGTTATGGTCTAAAGACTATGGAAGGAGACAACCATCCAGTTTCTCAACCACTATGGGACACTTCATCGTTGAGTGATTTCTTGATGTCATTGAAATGTCTCTAGAAAAATTGCTTCTCTTCTGAAAAAGCACTTGTGTTCCATTTGAATCCCCCTTAACATTTTCCATATTTTCTTTCTTTGGTGGAACAGAGCATTAGCAACTAGAGAACAGCTTAGCTGGTTCTCCACGGAGTAAAGGCTAACTGAAGGTTGCATACCCCGTTTGCAATAAGTTCTTCCTTGTTAAAGCATGTTGAGGGTTATTGTCTCTGAGTAATCCATCCTCGCTCTGTCTTACAACAGGGTTGAACAAGTAAGATGAACAATTGGATTTATAGTGGTTTATCCATTAATTACTGCTATGCTGACTTCTTGTTCATATAATAAGATGCTGTAAATATCTTCTCTACATCAGCATATCCAAACAACTGTTTTGGTCTTCCTGAGATTTTGGACTACCATCTTCAGTTCAATTGTAAATAATGAGAATGATGCTAGCACAGGCAGAGGAGACCATACAACCAGGAAGCAGGATTTACAGCTGAGGCTGAAGGTTGTTCAAGCTGCTTCTCAAATTAGGCACTGGAGGAGCGCACTGCCTAACTACACTGACTCGTCATCCAATCCCAATGATTCACTTCCGTGGTATGGAACTTGAACAGGATTGAGTTACACATGCCTCGTGTCAAAAGTCTACTCTTCTGTCGTTGCCTGAATAATATTTCTTCATGCTGCTTTAGTCAGCTGTTAATGACTTTTCAAACAACCCCATTCTCCACCATTGTTTCCCGAACTGCCCTTTCCTGATGTTTTGTCGTTGCTACAATGTGCTTGTTCGTAATTAAGTCGCCATACTCTTTCTCTGGCCCATGTTACATGATATGAGTTGAGTTGGTAGAATTTGACGAGGTATGACAGTATTTTGATAAAATTTGAGTTCTTGAAGTGAATTGAAATACTACTCCCTCCGTCTCACAAAGAATGATCTGGTTTGACTTGGCACGGAGTTTAAGTAAATAAAGAAGACTTTTGAATCTTGTGGTCCTAAATTAAAGTTATGTCAAATGTACAAAATTGCCCTTAATCTTGTGGTCTTAAACATGTCACGTGGAAAGCAAAAAGTAAAATGTTACCAAAAAAGGAAAGAGGTCATTCTTTTTGAAACTGACTAAAAAGGAAAGGAGGTCATTCTTTGTGAAACGGAGGAAGTATTATTTTTAAGTGCTAAATATTCTGGAACAACCAAAATAAAATTGTCATACAAATTGAGATGAAGTCTATACCTCGCAGATGACACTTATCACAAATTTTTAGACTACTCTTCTGTTCTCTGAAACTAGAGCCGTCAATATGGGATAGGTCCGTTGGGTCAGCTTGGATTAACCCGTGATTTGACAGGGTTGGGTTACGATTTTTGGAGCTCATTTAAGAAAAGGACATTTTAGTCTGGCCTGAATAAGCCTGTTGATTTGTGAGGCTTGAGAAATATGGATAGGGCCGGCTCGTGGGGCAAATAAAAATTAATTAAAAATAAAATAGAGTATCTTGTCAATATTTATGATAATATTTTTAAATTATAATTTAATTTAAAAAATTATTTAAAAAATATACTTTTAAGAAAAGAGAGCTAGCCCGACAAGCTTGTAGCCCACATACGTGTAGGCTGGGCTGATCATTTTCTGGTCCACACCAAAAATGGGCTAGCCCAATTTGATCCGTCAAATTTCAAAGCATGTATGGGTTAACTCGGATGGGGTGGGCTAGCTCATATTGACAGCTCTATCTGAAACATACCAAATTTGGTACTGAATAATTATTTTGCATAAAACAGTAAAGGGAAAAAATTAAAAATCGAACTGCATCAAACTATCCTTGCATGTAGATTTTAACAATAAAACCATTATTTATGTCAAATGGTATTGATAAACCGTGTTACTAGGTTAAGAACAAACAGCTGACAACTTTAAGGATATTGAACAGAACACAACAGGCTACACCTGCCAAATAAGCTCATGGAGATTTCCATAAAAGCAACCTAGGAGATTTTTGTGTACAATAAAAATTGAAGGACCAACTATGTACAGCATTATGGAACATGTACCACAACAGGAGAAATTCAGAGACCATCCTTCAAGCTAAGCTTAATACTTTGGACATTAATTGATAGTTGTTGCTTATGGTCATCTATATCCTTCAAAACTGAATAAAGATTTGCACGATAAACTTCACAATTCTGATTGGCACAATCCAGTTGATAAGAAAGCTCCTGGATCTTCGTATCCATGTCATCCTACAGTAATATGCATATAATTTATCAGTCTAAATAACCAAAGATCACATAAAATAACCAAACCTTCCATCAACAATATCAACTCTGTAACAGACATGCAAAAGTTTCTTTGCAGCTCGAAAGTTCAAAATTTAAATTATACATAGGAGAAAAGGAAGAAGAATAGGGAGGGAATCACAAGTTAGGGAGTCGGAACTCCCGCTTACAAGATAGGGAGTCGGAACTCCCGCTTACAAGATAGAAGTGCAGATGGTCATGATTCCCCATTAGACCAAATTCAATGCCTACAACTGGGGAGAGTGCAAAGAATTGTTTCAGCATTATTTGACCAAATTATAACAACCAATAGATGTTGATACTGAGGTATGAAAACAGATCCCTCAATGCACCAAATAGAATATGCAAAACCATGTTTCTATCCAACAACTTTGACTTCTATTCCTACCCAGTTTCTATGGGTGCACCAAAGAAAATTAAGTGACCGGAGACTACTCCTAAGCTTAGTAAAACTCGATTCTACCCCCTTAGAAGTTCTTCTAATTCTCTATCCAAACAACTCACATCAACGCAAGAGGAATCATGTTACATGCCCTACGTCTTCTCCTGCTCCACCAACAAAACATCAATTTTTTCACCATTTTTGGCATTAACCAAGAGGTTAAACCTCTTAAACATATCCCACCATAACCTCATGGTAAAATCACAATGTAGAATAAGATAATTGACGTCCTCACCCTCTTCCTTGCACATGAAACACCAAGTGATGCAAACAATCTTCCGCTTTCTCAAATTTTTCCGTTGTCAAGATCACCCCGCTAGTAACTAGCCAAGAGAAAAGGCACACATCCTCGGCACCTGTGGAGTCCATACTGCATTGTACAAAAATCACCTCCTCCCTAATCAGAAGTTTCTCATAAGAAGATTTAACAAAGAAAACTCTATTATTCCCAAAATCCCACCACAAAGCATCACGATTATTAACCGGAATACCTAGCCTATGAAGTAGGGCAATCAAACTTTGGAACTCATTTACCTCCCAATCATGGAAATCCCTTCTTAATCTCAAATCCCAAAAGTTTTGTCCTCCTTGTGTCCCCCTATTAGATGTACCGTCAAGTTTCATTGACGTGATTTTCTGAACAAAATCTGAAAATTATCTTTCAGTAATATCTCCCCACACCACCTTTATCCCCAGAAACTAACCATCCTTCCATTTCCTACCTTGAATGATATGTTAGCACTAAGTCATCTCATCCCTTCAATATATTCCTCCACAAGCCACACCCAATAGGCATATGACAACTCTAGTTCTCCATCCCACTTCTATAAACCCATATTTATCAACTATCATCTCTCTCCAAAAACCTTGAACCTACATCCCGAATTGCCAAAGCCATTTGCCCAGCAAAGTTTTGTTGAAAACTGATAAGTCTTTAATGTCGAGACTTGCCATTAAGTCTTTCACATTGTGCAGCATCACCCACTCAACTCCAAGCCATCTCAGAATCCCCCCACCCCCACAAAGTGGATGCTAACCAACAATGTAATAGGAGGTGATTTACGTCATCTCCAGATTCTTTGAGGAAGTTACAGATAACTTTATCTTTCAGTTTCTTTTTCCTTTTCTTTTGTGAAGGTAAAGAAATCTTGTAAATAAAATAGCAATAAGGATGTGTTGTTAATCTGCACAGATGCAGCAAAAAAGTGCATTAGCGAAAGAATATCTCATCTAATGTTGTAGACTTGTAGGGACTCTTAACATCTCTAGAAAACAAAATCATACAATTAGATTTATCTTCTGGATAGAAGAAGCATTGTCCTCAAAGCATATTGTATTTCTTTGAGTCCAGACAAATTTATCATATTACCTCATTAAATAATTTAAGGTTAAGGAAAAAGTACGTAGACATGAGAAATGCAGCCAAAAGAGAGAACCATGTGACTGGTAGTTCAACAAAAATTTAAAAATGACTAACCTCAGAGAGTGGACATGCGAGACTTCTTTGTTCATCCGAACTGTTGTAATTTGCATGGACCCCATTTCTAGTCAAGTTTTCTCGACAATGTCCATTTACTAAAGATATCCTCCCATCATGCTTTACTGCTAGGAAAATCTTCTTTGAAGCCTCCTCCAGAGCAGCCATTGCCACAGTATAAGAATCAACAGTCTCTCCCCCTTCCTCCACAAACTTAAACGCTTCATGTCTCAGCATATTATATCGAACAGTATGTGATTCCAAATAATAATTGATTACATCAGCAACACGGTCTTCCAATGCAACACTGCTCTTGGCACTTCGGCTCCATCGTTTGAGGATGTAATGAGAAGGAAGAGTCAGAACATTTGTCACTCTGAACACTGCTAAAACGTGTCGACAAAGAAGTCCTGAGAACTCAAACATCTGGCAGCTACAAGTAGCTTTCATTTCTAAAACATTAAATCTTACATAGTAAGCACTGTGGTCATCCCCAAATTTAGCAACTTGATAAGTGGTAACTAGTCCATCATCCTCAACTTTGTTCGCCATGAAAGTTAGAGTGGCAACCAACTCCTCCTGAAATCTCATAAATAACTTTTTCGTGTAAACCTCGGAAGCTTGCTTCTCCATTGGAGAAGGGGTCTTCAAAACTGGAAATGTATTCATCGTATCATAATCAGCTTTGATTTCTTTCTCAGTACGGCTCTCCACAGCTTTCTCATACAATTTGAAGAACTGATTTAGATTAGTTGACGCATTCACATAACCATCAAAATATGAGTTCATGCTATCACTACGCTGAGTTATGGACATTTCTGCAAAAAAAGCATCACGGAGATATACTTGCACCCATTGTCTGCGATCTAAGTATATCACTTGAAGCCAGTCATGATCCCTGAGCTCATACTTTTCAACAAGAGAAAGCCAACAGGATTCAAATTCCTCAGTAGACTCTATCAAATTGACACATTTGTGGAAGTCTGCTTCAAAATTTGGGTGCTCAAGGAAGACATGTGACAACTTTTCCTGGCATTTCTTGAAGATGTGCCATTTGCAGAAACGGTGACGGGTCTCAGGGAAAACCTGCATGATGGCAGACCTAATTACAGCATCATGGTCTGTTGTCATTGACAAGGGAGGTTGACCAGACATAGCTGCAAGCCATGTCTTAAAAAGCCATATGAATGAGGCTTCTGATTCATTTATTAGGAAAGCACATCCAAAGAGAACAGGTTGTCCATGATGATTTACTCCAGTAAAGGGTGCAAAGGGTAACCGGTACCTATTTGACCTATAAGTTGTATCAAATGTAACAGTATCACCAAAATAGTTATAATTTGCTCTTGCCTTAGAGTCAGCCCAGAAGACATTCCCTGTGCACTGGCCCTCATCACCCTGAACTGCATAGAAGAATCCAGGGTTCTGGATATTCATTTGTTTCAGGTAGTCTAAGAGGAGCTGTATGTCTCCTTCCAAGCTCCTTTGACGGTTGTTCCGCATGTAATTACGACAATCTACCTCTGTGAAACCAACTTTGCTAATACCACCATACTCTTTAATGAGGGCAGACATAATCCTGCGGGGACCCATACCAGCAGCCTGCAAGGTATCTATTAGGGTTTTGGCAGGACCAGAAATTTGACGATGGGAACGGAGACAGTGGACCTGATCAGGGGGAACCAGCTCGTGATTGTGCTCCTTGACAAAGTTAGAGACCACCCACATACCAGAGTCCTGTATCTTGACAGATAGAGCGGCCTTGCAGCCAACCCGGGTGACAGTACGTGGTCGCTTAATTTCTCTATCCTTGGTACGTTTCTCATTCAAATTGCGGAATCCTTCTTTGGCACAGACAAACGACCTTTGAATGATGGCTCCATCCTTCCTGGACCGACGGGAGGAGCTGACGCGGGTGCTGAAGCCAACACGGCGTGCGTAGGAGTTATAAAACGCCTTGGCAGCCTCCTCAGATTCAAATTCCATGCCCTCATATGGTTCAAGATCGAGGTCCCCTTGAGGAGAGTAACTTCGAACTATTGCAACATTTCCATCAATAACAGGAGAACAGTTGGCGACATTCTCCTCGTCAAGAACATCATCTCCATCCCCGTCCTCGCTCCCACCTCCACCTCCTAAGCCTATATCAAACTCGATTACCTCATTATCCATCTTCCGTAGGGAGACGAGAAGTTCGCTTTCCAGTTACACCTTACATATATGCATAGAATCGCAGGCGTACTGTGTCCTTATGGCCTAAAACATGGAGTATGTGTTAGTAATTAACACAGAGGAAAGAAAAATTGATACCGCAGTTCCGGCTACTATCTTGACGGTGGAAAATTTAGGGTTGGGGCAAAATGTTAGGCGAAGAAAAGGAATCCCTAGAAAATCCGGTGCCGGAGCATAGCCCTACTCTAAGCAAACCACTAATTGCACTCGAAGAGAGGAGAAGAAGAACCCGGAACGAACGAAATTAGCTTTGCGGATGAGTAAGGATCTTCTGTTCTGCTCACTTTCCCAGCTCCTAGGCTCCATCTAAATGGTAGATTTCGACAACTAGCCACTTTTGGGCCATCTAACGTTTTTTAATATTTTAATTTTAAAAAATACTAGTAAAATTACATACGCTTCGCGTGGAAATTTAATATCATGAAATTTATAAAATAATTTTTAAAACCTATCATTCATTAAAATTAAAATACTATTATCTTACATACAAAACATTAATAATGTTAAGGAAAATGAAAATTATTACATCTTATCATTTTCCCTTAATAACATAACCATAATTAATAATTGTAAAAATACATATCAGGATCTGTAACATATGCAATGGTGTCACTGAGTCATTCAACATGAGTAAACAAATATTTAATTGTGAAGAAGAAGAGGAGGAGGTTCAGAATTTTCGTTGTTTTAAAATGAGAGGAAATCCCTCTATTTATAGACAAAAAAGGATAATGTGAACAAATGTTTATTGTGCCTTATCGGAAAGGTTATAACTATTTGGAAAAGTTGCAACCCTTCGCAAAAGGTCACAACCTTTCATAAAATTCACAATTTTTCATAAAAGTCGCAACTCTTCATTAAAATCGCAAATTTTCATAAAAGTCACAATTTTTTATAAATTTCACAACTTTTCATGAAAGGAGAAGGCTAGTTTTGTAAATAAATAAATTAAATGGGACTTCTAGTTTATAGTGGCGCCACGTAGGAGGGCCTAAGGTTCTCTTATATATATATATATATATATATAATTAACAAATAAATAATAAATATTATTTCATTTTAATTTAAAATTTGATTACTTTTATAAAATTCAAGAATGAAGTAAATATTTCAATTGAATACCTAAAAGAAATTGTTATCGAGACAATAACAAATTTTTAAATTTTATTTTTTAAAAGTATTGACAAATAAATAATAAATACCAGTTCATTTTAATTTAAAATTTGATTACCCCTTATAA